ACTGATGGTGCGTGGAGCTAATGTCGGTGGTACACGACACAATTATAAAAAAAATACATAAATTTGTAATAAACCTTATCAGAGCTTTCCACGTACATATACATACTACTCTCCTCACTTACAAACACACCCTCTACTTTCATAGACTCGCCAGTATTTTCACTTACAAACACACCCTCTACTTTCATAGACTCGCCAGTATTTTCTTCCCTACAAACCCACCCTCTACTTTCATAGACTCACCAGTATTTTCACTTACAAACACACCCTCTACTTAACATAGACTCGCCAGTATTTTCACTTACAAACACACCCTCTACTTACATAGACTCGCCAGTATTTTCACTTACAAACACACCCTTTACTTTCATAGACTCACCAGTATTTTCTTCCCTTAAAATTGACAAACATCGTACCACATATTCTTTAATCGTGCCAGAAAAAACAATCGCATCCTTCGCATTAATAGGTAAGTGTTTAAAATATTACTTTTCGTTACTATGTTTTTTAAAATTAGGCCTGGGTTTGTAACTTTAAAAAAATAAACAAAAAGTGGTACGAGAGCCTGAAACGTTTGAGAACCACTGATATAGATAACACACGGCAACCAACAACAATACACCATAACCGTTTTCATCAATAAAAAGACTACATCATGACTGAAGCCACTAACAAGACACAACAATGAAATCCTTAACAGTAAAGCATGTTACCATTTGACCCCCTCAGTATTTCATTACAAACTAAAGGTACTGTAATTCTCCACTTGCTATTAACATACGACAGCTCTGTTATCCAGTACAACTAGGTTTTACAAACCATGATATAAACGTACGTTCGGACTGAGTAAGGGTGGTCAAGGATCCACTGATTTACGTGCCGGACTGTGGAACTTCAGTTCCGTCATGTTACCGAGTGTGCGTTAAAGGAATAACGGTCAGATTCCACTATTTAGTCTGACAAGAGTTAATCGTGGGTAGTTTTAAATAGGTGTCTTTCTACTAGTAGTCTATCACTTCAAAATTGGGCACGGCTAACGCACATGGCCTTCGCGAAGCTTTGCGCGAAATCCAAGAATGAAGAGTAGAGAAAACCATTTATACAGTTTATACAGTTCATTTATTCATATTCAGCACCAGGTGTAAAGAAAATATTCTGGCTCAACTTTAGACGTACAACGCCCTCAGTGAATTATAA